AACTTTGAAGCTTGTAACAGCATAATTACAAGCGGAGAACGGAGTAACTTTATGTCACAGCATGCATAACAACAGCCGATGTTTCTCGTGAGTGTTTTCCCCGGGAATCAAACACAGTACACACACAAACACAAAAATACACAAACACACACGTATATACACACACACACACACACACACACATACACACACACACACTCGCGAGCTTCCCCCAGACCAGTAATCCAAACGAAAATATCTTCACTCCGTAGTATTTTGATCATTTGCTAATAACCAATCAGATCGATGGATTCCAGAGAAGAGGACACTTTGAAGGCCTTTTTCTCAAAATGATGACTCGGTGACAGTCATTATATAATGTGACATATTTCGCTTAATATTTGGAGTACAAAAACAATCCTGATATCATTAGAAAGCTAGGAATATCTCTTTCCAGCAGTGTATACAACTCAAAATGTGTTTCGATAGAGCAGGTCACATATGTATGACAAGTATTGGAGTAGCCTCATTGCATCATATGTGTTTAAGACATTGATGGTTTGTTAATAATTCAATATTGTGAGAATTGTGCTTCTTCCATTCAGTCACAATGACCTGGTAATGTGTGCTGTTTGCACGCTAATATGTTCCTAATATATTTGAGGTTTTAAGGACTTGATTCCTCTGAAGTTGATCTCATTTCTCTTCCTCATGTTGTCCTCCCCTCTCAGGGAAAAAGAACAAGTTGCGTGTCTACTACCTGTCCTGGCTGAGGAACAGAATACTACACAACGACCCTGAAGTAGAAAAGAAGCAGGGCTGGATTACAGTGGGGGAACTGGAGGGCTGTGTGCATTATAAAGTTGGTAAGGATCTGTGTTACTGTGTGTACATCGTGGATGAATATATAAATAGAATTAGGCATGCTAAGGCGGATTTAATTCTTACGTGGCCTGAGCTTAAATGTTTAGTATTGAAACAATCCCTAACCAGCTAAGACATTTTCAAAAGGGAAGGAGAATGAGTAAATATGTTAGATTCAGCCACAGATGCAGCTACAGAATTCACACAAATAAGCAAAGCAAGTTGTGGCGTTCTTACTGAATGCAGTAAACGTTGGTATACAGTAGCTTTGAGAATAGTTTGTAATTGTTTAACTCCAATATCTCTACAGACCACTCAGATCTGGAGCCAATTAAATCACTTCTAGCAGCTAAGCTAATTTGCTTTACAGCCCAAAGATATGGACTTTTTAATTTGTATATCAACTGGAAATAAGTTACGGTTCTGGCTCTTGTCCTTCATATTATTCCCAAAGTAGTAGCTGTTCCCGTTGGCCTCTGATTAACTCTCTATGTTCTGTTTCCAGTCAAATACGAGAGGATTAAGTTCCTGGTGATTGCTCAGAAGAACGCTGTGGAAATCTATGCCTGGGCTCCTAAACCCTACCACAAGTTCATGGCCTTTAAGGTACAACAATGCACATTATACACATGTAGAGAATGCAGAATGAATATATGGCATGACTACAGGCACAATTTCCTCTCCTTTTTTCTCCCTGCCGCCATTTTAGTCATTCACTGAACTGCAGCACCGTCCCCAGCTGGTCGACCTGACGGTGGAGGAAGGTCAGAGGTTGAAGGTCATCTATGGTTCCAGTGTGGGCTTCCATGTCATCGACGTGGACTCGGGCAACCCTTACGACATCTACATCCCCTCACATGTGAGAACAAGACTGTGCTTATAAATGTCTGTAAATCTTCAATGACACGTTTCTCTCACGTCCAATACATTTGAATGAACACACATGATGGAAGGCAAAGGAGAGCAGGATTTATTTTCTCTCCTTCCTAAAATATGACCTGCTTATCCAAGGTCAGCCATGACTCACACGCTGTCTCATGAAGATTGGCTTCCACATATACAATGTCTTTTTCTTGACGGATCACCTCTTTGATTGATCTGCTGTCTCTTTTATCAGAGGCTTTTGCTAAATACCACACAGTATGAAGCTGTAATGACTGAATAACTAGAAATGTAGTAAGTGGTAGCTGCTACGACATTTCCTGTTGCAACAAAGTCCTCCAAAGAGCATTCATGTGAAGTAGTGCGGGCATTCTTTCAGCATACCTCTTCCCTGAGCAGCATGCAGTCAGATATCAATTCTAGTCATCACTCAATCACTCATGGGAGCTAGATACACCATCAGTAGTTGTCCATGTGCGTGCTTGAATGCTAATCAGTTTTGGTACTTGCATGCAGATTACTTCGTTCCGGGGTTGCTTTACTAATCGTATGCTTTTAACCAAATTAAATCTAAACACTGGAGATGTCCCGATCCGATCACGTGATCGGGGATCGGAGCCGATCACGTGATTTTCAAAAGATCGGAATCCGGAGAAAAAAATCGGTGATCAGGATTTTTTTTTTTTTTATATTTTTTTTAAATTTTAAAATTTTTGGATTCAATGGTTACAAAATAAAAATGACCCATGTTCAAGTCTTAAAGTCATCCTGAGGACTTAGTTTTGGTTTAAAATTACACAACATCATGTATGTGTTGCTTCTTTGGGGCTTGTTTTCATAGACCTGGTTGCTTATTTCTCTCAAATCTGGCAACAGAGTGGGCAGGGCGCAGTGTCTAATTGTAGCAGTAAGCTAACGAGTACTGACAAGCTTTATTTATTTTGATCCAATGCTGCACAACTGAACTGATCCAATGCTGCTGTGAAAGAAAGAAGCTATATCCATGTTGGATAGAATATCTAATTTAAATAAAAAAATAACCTTAAGGGACAACTTGAATGCTTTTTTTTCTCTTAATGCATTGCATAAAGATCGGATCGGGAAAAATCGGTATCGGCAAATTATCAAAATCAAATGATCGGAATCGGATCGGGAGCAAAAAAAGGTGATCGGGACATCCCTACTAAACACAGTTAGGCTGCATTTTTTATTTGGTGGCAAGATTTCAGTACATTCACCGCACCAAATACAGATATGAAGACACGCAATTGAAGTCAGTTGAGTTCATGCTGTACAGTGATTGCACAAGAAGCCTTTTCATTAGAGCATTCCTCTTGAAGAGATTGTCTTTCACAATTGTTGCCTTTAATCTTCCTCTCTCTCTCCTTCCCTGCCAACTTCTCCTTTCTACAGTGTGCCAAACAGATGAAGGTGACATCCTGCCATCCACCCTTTAGACTAGATCAATAGATCTTTAGTAAAAAAAAACCCGTAGTGGATGCACAGGAGTGCTACATGTGTCTGTGCTGTACAGTTTATTAGAGTAGTGATTAATGGATAATTTAGCTAGAAACAGGTTGCATGAATAAATTCATCTTACCCACAGGAGACTTCACAAACTAATGAAAATATGTTAAGTGCTACAAGATAAATGTTTGGTCCTGCTGGAACCACAACACCAAATTGAAGTATTAAAACACAATTCCAAATATTTATTAATAAAATTAGCATTTCTGTAATTACTTTTTTAAATGTGTGTGGTACGCGGTCATATGCTTATCACAAGTTGACAATATTCTAAAAGCTTTTCTTAACACTCATCAGCCAACAAAACCATGGTGTGTCGTTCCATTTTGCATTTTGTGTAAATGCAGTTTCTTGTGGGTTCAGAGGACTTTTTTCATCACCTTGTCAGTCTTTCATTTAACCTTTTTGTGAGCCGTCTGTTTGGGTAAAGTGCACAGATTCGAGCCATGTCTGTGTTTTGTTCTTGATCCCAACTCTGCTGATGTTATTCTTGTTAATAATGCTAACATAAAAATGCTATATTGTGTCGGTCCAAAAAAATCCAAACAGCCTGCCAAATCTGTTGCATTAAATGCCCATCAGGAAACAGCTGTAACATTTGAACCCACTGTAGATTATGATTACATTTGACAGATTATATTAAAGCCTATGAAATGTTCACTGTGTGTGTCTGCAACAGATCCAGAGCCAGGTGACGCCCCATTCCATCGTGGTGCTCCCAAAGACCGATGGGATGGAGATGCTGCTGTGTTACGAGGACGAAGGCGTCTACGTCAACACCTACGGGCGAATCACCAAGGACGTGGTGCTACAGTGGGGAGAGATGCCTACCTCTGTTGGTACGTCTCACATCATACCATTTTAATGTCTGTTTAGGTGATTCAAATAGATTTCTATCATCACTGGAGTCTTTAAAACATCATGGAGAAAACACCCGGTTCGAAGATATCAATAAAAAATGACTTGGAGGCTTGAATAACTTGATTGATGTATGCTAGTACCCACTTCAGTGCCGTGTGTTGAAATGCAGATCAGAAGTATGTGAACGATCTGAGAACTGAGCTTATGCGGGTTTATTTAAGGTTTAATTGCATTCAAGAATCAGTTCATAGCATCTGCTTTCACGGGACGGCTTCAAGAGAAGGAAGAAGCGTTGGGTTGGGGTGGGGGGGGGCAAGGGTAGATTATCAAAAGTAAATGTAAAAAGCATAGTCACAAGGGAAAGAAAAAAAGAGGGGGAAACCAAGAGATTGAAAGTCCAACAAAGAAATGTGTAACTGCATGTCCTTCAGTAGGGAAGTGCTCTACTGCCCTCATGTGGCACACAGTGGTGTAACACTTTAAAGCTACCACGATTTTGGGCTGAGTCGAGATTTGTACATTATGCTTTTGGATGTTCTTATTGTATTTATACATCATTTCATTTTGACCTGAATAATAAAGATTTGTTTCACTGATGAGTCTTTTGTGTTTTCTCTTTTCCAGCCTATATCCACTCTAATCAGATTATGGGCTGGGGGGAGAAAGCCATAGAGATCCGCTCTGTGGAGACAGGTCATCTGGACGGAGTCTTTATGCACAAGAGAGCCCAGAGACTCAAATTCCTGTGTGAGCGGAACGACAAGGTGAATAAAACACACTCTTTGATTCTCAGTTATTCTTATCCGGTGTTTTGATTGGTCATTGAAACACTAATTGTGAACATGAAGTTGGTATTTTGGTTCTTTGAGTCTTTTTAAGGCTCAAAGAACCAAAAAGAAAGTTTTAACGCTATGCCAGGTACATTTTCAAGTCCAAATTAGGCAGCAGGTAATATCCATTTCATTTGTGTGGGTAGATCCTCGATACAACTCAGTCTAATAATATATTTCCCTTCGTCTTGATATGCACTTATGTGTGAGAAATATAGAAACAACACACAGACATGTGCATTGTCAAAAGTCTTTACCATGCGTGGAAGATAATCATGTTATGTATAATTTAAAGGTCCCATGACATGCTTTCCCGGTTATTACTCGCATGTAAACTGCTACTGCAAGTACATTCACCATCAACATGCCCTTTACACTGCAAAACAAAAAGACAAAAAGACAGTTTATAGATATGTATAATATAAGCATCTTTGGGTTCAAGAAAAGCACTATTGAAATATAATTTATTATTATTATTATATTTGCAGCATGGCAAATTTCCTTAATGAAACGGTCTGCAGAGTCAAAAACCCTCAAAGTACACCCTGTAGCGAGTAAAACTCTAACACAGAGAAGAGCTGTCTATTCTGCCCCAGAACGCCTCGTTGGACATTTCTCTTTTTCTTCCTAGGTACAGTGACGTCCAAATGGACCAATCCGCAGAGCCGTTACGTTAATTCCGTGGATTGGTCCAAATTGACCAATCCGTGAACTTCCTCACACAGACACACTCAATATTTTCTCAGCTGCAGCTCCGCCGATTTCTCCCCCCTGAGACGGCGGGACGCAGCGAGGCTGTGAGTCGGTGTGTGAGCACACACACAAACAAACTCCCAGTCAGGCTGTGTGTGTGTGTGTGTGTGTGTGTGTGTGTGTGTGTGTGTGTGTGTGTGTGTGTGTGTGTGTGTGTGTGTGTGTGTGTGTGTGTGTGTGTT